AAAATATTCAGCAGTAATACAAAGTAGAGGGCAGTTTGGGAACTGCCAACTTCTTGAATTTGGACAGTCAAATGAATGTGTTTGTTCAAATCTAGCCTGCCATTTCTCATTTCTTGTTGTTGCTTTTAGACAGACAATAGAGAAATAAAGCTTGGCCTTTTTCACATGGTGTCACCCTCTAAAAATATCCATCACCTACTGGCAATTAATTTGGAAAAAATCTCCCCCTCCATCTGAAAATATTTTTTTAATAAGAGAAAGAGAAGGGATGAGGGACGAAGAAATCAAATAAGAATGAGACTTGTGGCAGTGTCCTCCCCATATTCGGCTTTAATTTAATTTATTGTCCACAATTATCCATCTATTCCTGGCACAACATCACTGCAAAGTTGTATCTATCAGCATGAAGAGAAAAAAAAAGCCCGCCACCTCCACTTAATGGGATAGTGTTGGGATTGTACATTTTGGACACGACTTCTAATGTTAACAGCAGCTTCATCCACAAATAATTCTTCAAATTTCTCTTCATTTTATTTTTAAATTAAAGTGGGTTATTTTTCATCAATGGGGATTATAAAATGGTACAAAACACACAAGAATAGTTTCTCTGTCTAGAATTAGATTTAATGATTTGGGAAGAGTTAATTGATAGAAATGCTTGAACCAAAAGTATACATGCTGATGAAATGTTGATGAAGACATAGCGAAAGGAAGTTATGCAACTTCTATGTTTCATCACTGGAACAATGGAGTTTTCAGGAGTACTTCACGTAGTGATATGAAGTGTTGCTGCTGAATCTTTCTCTCTCTTCCAGGCTCCCACCCAAGTTTGTTATTTCAATCTTTTTTCCCTTCTCAACCAGCTGGGGAAATAGTTTGAGTATCTATGGTTAGTAAATGGAAATACCAATATAAGCCAAATACCTTAAATGAATTAAGTGCAATTCACCAAAATAAGCATGTTCATAAGTAACTGAAAAACATCTGGTACTTAACTGAATATCAACATTGCAAAATTTGGAATCTTCTTCCTGAATTCATTATAACAAGAATCCTCCTGAATCCTTGTGAACAACAAAAAGGACATTTGATCATATTTGGTGGACAAGTAAAAAACCTTTAAAAAATTGGATTCAAATAGATATATTGATTGAAAGGATTTTAAAGTAACAGTAAAATAAACAATTATGATCACAGGCTTTTACAGTGGAATTGACGGGCAGTTTGAAAAAAATAATAGAACTTTGTTGTTGTATATTGTATACACAAACTTGGAAAGATTTAGCATTATCCATAATGGAGAAATGGTTGGTGAAAATGATAGAACTTGTGAGATGGCCAAATTGACTTATTTGATAATTAGACTGGATAGATTATAGAAAGAGAGTTGTGTTGTTTTAGAGTACGAAGGCAAATTTATAATTGTACTTTTAACTGTAAAGAAGGGTGGAAGCTATTTTGTTTCTTTATTTTCTATTTTTCTTCTACCTTTTCTCTTTTTTCAACTTTGATTTCTCTTTGATTTATATTGATTTTTTCCATTATATTAGTTTATTTCAGTTTTTATTTTCCTCTTTAAAACTATATGCAAAAATGTACAATAGAATAGTGATTTTGTTTAGATTGTTTTGGCTATTCCTTTGCAATTTTTTTCTGTAATTTGATGTATAAACAATATAGTTACATAGTTTTGCTTATCACATCAGTAAGATAAATTCTGTAAATAGGAAAGAAATTGAAATATGAGTGGAAATCCCATAAAAGAGCAAGGATCTTTATTTTCCAATAATATCAAATATCTTTATGGTATCTTGCTATAAATCCAGTTTTCTCATAGTGAATTTCATTTCTACTTATTTGATCTTCCAAAGTTTCATAACAAAAACAAGCAAATATAGCAAAATGGGTTAAGAGGTCATAGCATTTTTTTCTTGGCAACTAGGGCAAGCAATAAATCCAGATGTGTAATTCACCTAGTGATTACATAATGACTATCCATTATACTTCAAAGCTACAGGTTCTCTAAAGATTATGTTCTACATATCACAATGGAACAATGCAATTAGAAAAATTAGCAGTTAATAATCCATGCTTTGGTTCCACTTGAGATAATTAATCTAAGAGTATGTATTATAAATGCATTATAAATAATATATTAATTGGATATTCACTTCAGCAAGAGATAATGCCTTGGATTTTTTGAATTAGTATAATTCCCTTTACTTGCACAGCGTCTAAGAATAACAAATTTTTTTCCTCCCATCTGATTCTTTTCCCCAAAAAAGTTTAAGAAGATTGAGAAATTACTTTGCTTTGAGGTTGGGTGCAAATGGAATCAGCACAAAAGGATTATGTACTGAATTTTCAGTTTATTACAAATTTTAAGGCAATGGACAATTTATTCCCCTTCTTTCTAGCAAATGATTAACCAACATAAATTAAAGAAAAATGAGGAAGAAACATAGGATAAATTATTACCTAATGTGAATAATCTTTCCCCTGGAATTCAATACAACTTAAGATACCATGATATTTTACGTACAGAAGTAACCAGATAAAAGGGCTGCAAATAAATAGCAACATTCTTCTTGTGAAGGAAAACTTGAGATATGTATACATAATTTTCTGAAATCAAGATAATTTTTAAAACATAAGGCATCAAAATGACTAAATATTACAGTTTAGTAAAAGTATTTTTGTATTCCTTTATAAGCACTTCTGATGAATGACATTCAACATGCAATTATTATAATTTCTGTTATTTTTATACACTAGATATATTTAGTCTGAGTAATGTCTGTACACTTAAGTATATTTAATTGGATGCATGACTTTATTAAACATTACATCTTACACAATGAAAATAGAATTTTAATGTTTTTGGAGACTTTTTCTTTCTTTATAAAATTATAATAGATAAAATGGTCAGTCAGCTAGCATAGTGATAAGTCCACTGAAGTACTTTAATCAAAAAGTGGAATATTTGTTTCATTTCATTTTGATCCATTCTTATATTTATTACTGACATGCAACATACAAAATTACATATAATTTTTCCATGATAATAGACGTTATGTAACAGAATAAGTATGTAAACAAAAAACTGATATACACTGCATTCATAGATGAAACCTCATTCTAGTTCATAAAGTGGGTAGAATAAGTTTCCCTATAAAGGTTAGCATCCAACTTAGGTTAACAGTCAAAGGGCTTTGTGACAAAAAGAAAATACAAAATTTGGGCATCATCAATATGTTTACTGCTTGCAGGTGAAATTAAAAATCTGACAATGAATCCAGATAAGATGTTGCTTCTAAGATGGAAGTGGATTGCAGAGGGAATGGTAATATAATGTATTAATTTAGTTAGAAGCATAAGAATCCTTATAAACCCCTTTATTTATTTGAAGAAAGCAAAGATTGGCCATACTCTTATGGTCTTTTGTTAATTTTAGCTGTCTAGAAAGGGTAAGCTTTCTGAAGTGCAACATGTATTTAGTTAATTGCAGTTTTTTTCTCATCATTCTCTTCGATTTTTTTTATAACGAGGGGTTGCCTTAAATAAAGCTTGTATGCATGCCTAAACTGTAAATTATAATACAGGAAGTCTTCAACTTACGACCACAATAAAGCCCAAAATTTCTGTTGCTAAGCAAGGCAGTTGTTAAATGAGTTTTGTTCCATTTTTACAATCTTTTTTGCCAGTTTTTAAGTGAATCACTGCAGTTGTTGTTAGTGACACAGTTGTTAAGTGAATCTGGTTTCCCTTTGACTTTGCTTGACAGAAGGTCGTGAAAAGTGATCACATGATTCCAGGACACTGTGACCACCCTAAATATGAGTCAATTGCCAAGTGTCTCAATTTTGATCACGGATCAATGCAACTGTCTTAAGTATGAAAAATGGTAATAAGTCACTTTTTTTCAGTGCTGTTGTACCTTCAAACGGTCACTGAACGAACTGTTGTAAGTTGAGGACTACCTGTAAAACAAAATCAGTGCTGCTTCTTACCTCCTCAGCAGAATGCATCTGCTTTCTAAAATTGAAAGAATTCCAAGCAGACAGATGTTGCAGCACTAGTGACTCCTTTTTTGGAGCCATCAGTTATGTAGAACTCTTGGCTGGCAGTGTCACTTTCTTTGTAGCAATTTCAGTTGATTTGCCTTCCAATGAGGAGCCTTGTTTAGTAGTCAAGACAACTGCAGCAAATTGTATGAACAATTTCTGGACATGTGTAACGTAAGGTGGTAAAGTCTCCTATTATTATTATTTAATTAATTAATTAAGATCCTTATACACACATAATTAAAATGCACAAGTTTATAAGACAAAATGTTCTTGGTTTGTTTTGATTAGTATGTAGAGTAAAACTATCTGATTTATTGTTAAATTGGGTTTATTAATGTATTTTTAACTATGCATTTATTGTTTTAATTCTATTTTACATTCATTCTTGGATTTAGTTAGAATGCCTGTTGTTTCTGTGCTGGTATGTGTGATTCTGTGTATATGGGTGTGTCTACATCTATAGGTAGTCCTTGACTTAAGACTACAATTGAGCCCAAAATTTATGTTGCTAAAGGAGACATTTGTTAAGTGACTTTTGCCCTATTTTATCAGTTTACTTGCCACAGTTGTTACAGTCATTAAGTTAGTAACCCAGTTGTTAAGTGAATCTGGATTCCCTATTGACTTTGCTTATCAGAAGGCTGCAAAAGATGATCATGACCCTGAGACACTGCAACATCATAAATATGAACCACTTGCCAAGTTTCCAAATTTTGATCATATGACCATGGGGATGCTGCAGTTGCTGGGTTAAAAACGGTTATAAGTTATTTTTTCAGTGCCGTTGTAACTTTGAATGGTCACTAAATGAACTGTTGTAAGTCAACAACTACCTGTATACGCACAATAATAAACTCATGTGCCAAACACACACAAAAAAAACCCTCAACTCAATCTTTATGCTGCACTCAAATAATCCCAATAAAAAAAGTCTAAGTTTCAGTCTCTATTTTATTGTTAAAATCCTATGATGGAAGCATAGCACAATTAATATGCTGAATAACTCTTTACAATTATACAAGCTGTACAGTTGTTTCAAGAGTATATAAATATACTCCCTGTTGTTCTTTCATCAATTTGGGAAATGTCATAAATTTACACATTCAGATGGAATAAAAATGCATTTGCTGATCTACTGATAAATTTATTCAATATAGTCTACAGTGTGCGGAATTATTTTGTTCCAACAGCAGAACACTTATATAGTTAAATCTCTTTAGGAATGTATATATTTAATTGATAAGATATACAATTCAAAGATGTGGAATAAAGTGCTGTAGAATTCAATGACCTTGCAATTTCACAGAAAAGCCTTCAGGACATATACATTATAAATATCAATCTGTGGTATTTACATTTACTTCCATAGTTGCAGTAATCCACATTCTGAGGCAAAGAGTAAGCTAAAAGTCTTTTATTTCATTTGCATTTTAAAAGAAGTTTTTCTTACTCTCCTTTGTAGCGAGGAGGTCTTTTCTCTTTAAAAGCAAGAAGACCTTCAATTCTGTCTTTTGTTGGGATAGTCTACAAAGAAGAAAATCTTTTTCAATTCTTGTAAGTTAGTTACATTTATATACAAACATCACCCAAAAATATAGGTTAGCAGAAAGATAAGAAAAAATGTAAGCCGACCCATGGCTACAAAATGCTTGCAGCTGTTGTAAATCAATCATGCTCTTTTATAATCAAAGTTTTGCTGGTTATTAGAGATGGGATAAAACTGAGAGTAGTATCTCATATTTGTTCGTTCTGAAATGTAAATCTCTCAAAAAAGAATGTATATATGTAACTATTAATTTTGCAACAAGGATGTAAATTGTGATGTGTAGCTTTTTAAAACTGGTCTTGCAGGAAAATTAAATACTCCTGAAAGAACTGAACAGCAATGGGCATCTCTTTCCAGTTTTCACTTCTGAATAAGCTCTTCTTAATCAAATAAACCAATCACAATTCATGTAAAACAGAATTAGTATGGTGCACTCAAGAATAAAGAAAAAGCCCACCTCCCGTTAAGTCTTCAAAACCTCCCAGACATTCTTAGGATATAAGAATTACCTTGGTACCCAGAATGCTGCTGATCTATTTCAACTTATTATTCAGATTACATAATTGTTAATTTGATAAATTTCAATGGTAAAATAATACAATGGTGAGGAAGACTCTAGATTACAAATTTGCCTGTAACTCACAGGGTTTGCAAGTAGTACAAGGAGAAACAGAGATATTTGTCCCAAAGGTGCTTTTTCAAAAAGCAACTGGACTTTGTTTTTCTTTGAAGAAGTTGTGTTTCTCATTCAAGAAGCTTCTTCAATGAACTGAAGAAGCTTCTTGGATGAGAAGTGAAATGTCTTCAAGGAAAAACAAAGTTCAATTGCCTTTTGAAAAGCACCTTTGGGACAACTATGACCTGGATGACTATTATGATGTCTGTATTTCTAAATAATGCTGGCAACACCCACAGAGGTAGGCCAGAGGTAGGATTCCTGAGAATAGGTGTTCCTTTCAACACGAGCACTCTAACACTGTAAATGTGTATATATTAATCTGGAATTAAGTCATATTTCTAAGCAGGCATACTGTATATACAATTGAACAGTAAATGAGTAAAGTTCTCACCCAAAAAGTGAGGTACATGAGGTGCAAAGCAAATATTTGTAATTCCTCATCATCAAAACTGAACTATCAACTATTTTATTTTGATACTAAGTGATGACATTGCAATCTGCATATTACCAATATTTAAACATGGGAAATAGTTTGGGAGTGGGGATTTTGGAAGGCACCAAGGAAAGTTAATTATAATTTCATACCTGAGCATAACAGGCTTCTTCAATTGCCAAACCTGTTAGCAGATCTACCTAAATAACAACAGAAGTGAAATAAATTTAAACAGTGTTGAAAATATTCTGCATACTAGTGCAAAAATGATATTCTTATCAATAATAATAATAATAATAATAATTGAGGCTATACTTCAATAGAATCTTAGGTTAGAATTTAATAAGGATGTACGGAATCTGTGGCAGGTTCCAATACCTTTCAGGCCTGGTTATGTTTGCTGGGATTAATGGGATTTGGGAGTCACAGGTTCCCCCCCACATTAAAGTACAAAGAAGCTGTACTTAAAAAGAGTTTTGAGGCCCTAATCTATTGTATTTTTGTGAAATTTTATTTAGAGTTTTATTATACTGAAAATGTGCCCCGATTACAGAAATCCAGCTAATGTCTTTAAAATACTTTTAACAGGATGTCAACATAGTATTCCAAGAATTTATATTCTAACTGCTACATGATGCATACTGCATTCCATTTTATGACTAATTTATATGTATAATAGTAAAATCACTGATATAACATTTAAAAAAATAAACTGAAATGAAAAACCATATAAAACGTTTATGTATACAAGGCCACAAGGGATAAGTGGTCATAGTGAAATGAAATATAAGAAAAATATGAGAAATCATGTGATCCCTAACATTTTCCCACATTTTAATAGCAATTCAATCTTAGCCAAATTCTAAAACAACTAAGTGCATGTAACAGGATATATTCTCCATGTACAGATAAGGGCATTCAAAGCACCATTTGGGATTTCCATTTGAGACCTATTTCAACAAAAATTCACAAATACTTTTGCTGAGTACATTTACTGTGTGCTTATATGCTTCTCATATTCCTTAAGAACTTGGGGATACAGAACTACCTATAAATAACATATATACTTATATAAAGCAATACATAGATCAATATCATACTTTCAGAAAGCCATATCACAAAATACATCAAAAGATAACTTTTGGTATCCCTTTTGAACTTTTTGCATAAAGCAGAAAAAATAAACTTAGGGTCTTTGGTTTTGACAATAAGTATTTTTTAAAAAATAGGGAAAGAGGTTGTATATTTGTATTTATAACTGCTGTAAAAAATAGAAGACACTTCTTTATTTTTCTTCTTCCTTTTCAATTTTTCTGTAACTTTTTTCTTCTTGAACTTTAGCTCTATTTTATGTTTTCCTTATTATTTTTTTCTTACTCTTAGTTTTTATTAATTTTTACTCTTGATTTGATAAAATTATGTTAAAGAAAAAGCTTTTGGTCATGCTTTGTAAAAATAGATAAAAGGATAATGTTCACTAAACATTTAAGAAGTCTAAAGATACCAGTTTCTAGTATAATTGTGCTAGAATACATATTTTCAGAAACCTAGTGAGGATAGAAAAGAAATATATTGTTTTTATTCAAATAGAAATTTGCAAGCCTGATAAAAATATGTTGTATTCAAAATACTAATTCAAAAATGAACAAAGACATCATAGCTTAGCAGACTTTCTAATGTTAAGGAATAAATAAACTGATTTATAGGGATTACTCCTTTCAAACTGAGGACTAAGTAAGATATGAGAGGAATCTGCACAATTCGTTTTGTTCTGTGTGCAATAGGAGGGTCACATTCAAACATTCATGATTTTGTGAGGCAATGAAACTAGAAGTATAGTAGTCAGGAAAAAAGTATGGATAGGTTTCAGTTTTCCAAACTTTCCATACTGTGCTTGAGACAATACATCCAACTACTGTTTTATAGATTTTGATCCATATATATCAAGTATACAATTTCTGCATGTACTTTGTCCCTTTAAAAAAAAAGATTAAATAAGATGCACAAATAGATTTTCTTACTTCCATTCCTTGATTTATGGCCAATTTTGCAACTCTCATTGCTATGGGTCCCTAAAATTAAAAAGAAATGTAAGTTTCAACACAGAAAATAAGGTTTGTGATTTTTAAAAAGGATTCAAATATCAAAATTTCATTTTGCTATCTCAGAAATCAATTGTATTAATTGTTACATTTAGGGAAATGTATGTGGACCATAACAGCATTTGAGGGTAAGAATTAAGACCTAAATCTATAACTTCACTTGACAAGCTGACTTCAGTAAACACAATATTGAATCTAGCATCTTTTATGTAGAATAGGGTTTTGTACTCAAGGGCTTAAAACATATTTCATAATAGAATGAATACTGTATCAGCAATATGAAACTAATCTGGAACTAATGATAAAAGTGCTGGGTTAAAAATCAGATTATGAGTCGTAGAACTTCTACAGGCACATAAACTGGCTTGGTAGCTTTGAGCCAGTTCTTTCTCTTAGAATAACCACTTAGAATAACCACAGGATTGTTGTAGGGAAAATAGGAGGAAGGAGGATTAAGTACACCACCATGAGTTATATAAAAAAGAAGTATGATCTAAATCTATAAAATAGATATATGCATGCATATACAAAGCTATATTTAGCAAGTTCATTTATTTATACTTCTATTTGTATTTCTATATTTATTATAGTAATTTTTTATTAAGAAATATTAAACAATATGATACATTTAAAAAAGAAAGGCACTGCAATTTTTGTAAGAATTTATAGAATATAAAATCTGTAATTGTTGGCCAGTTTTATGGCACCTGCTATATGTATGAGAGCTGAACTCCTGAAAAGTAAACTTGGCATTTGGAAAATTAATATCAAATAGAGCACCAAGATGAGAAAGACCTGTCTCTGAACATTTATACAGGACAACAAAAATAAAAAAGGTTTCTTGGCTGCAAATATACTACTGTAAGTGGTCATCTATCAATTCAAACAAATATATAAGTAGAAAATTTCTTTCTAGTCATCGCAATGTGTCAGAAAGAGCAATGGTCTTTCCATTTTCTACATTGGTAGGTGAAGATTGAATTTTCATAGCTACCTACCCTGTTTTCCCCAAAATAAGACATCCCCTGATAATAAGCCGAATCAGGCTTCTGAGTGCATGGCAATAAGGCCAAGCGTTTATTTCAGGGTTCAAAAAAATATAAGACAGGGTCTTATTTTCGGGAAACACGGTAATATAAGCAGGAAGAAAGCTGCCAATCTGAATGAGAATCAGGCAGCAATAGCTGGAGCAAACCTTTATGATCCCATACATGATCAGTATGGAGCTTAGAAAAACCTTGAAAAAACAATAATAAACTTCAGTTCCAGTGAAATGGTATTGCTCTGGCCTAACCTAATTAAAAATGATAAGCATCAAAAGAATAAAGCAATGTGTCAAGCGCAGGAAATCAGGAGTATAGACAGTTCAAATGAATATAGGTTTATTATATGCTAATACTGTTATAACACTATAAGAATCTGAATTAACAGTCAATGCAAATTGGCAGTAGATAAGAGTCAATGGAATTCAAGGTGTGCTTGACTTAGATCTCTTGGGGGCGTGAAGGGACTTGAGACTGATGACCCATTTGATCCCTCCCTTGGGCTCAGCCTGGTCATCTCCTGCACAATTTTTTAAATGGTGTTTAGGAACTGGGAAAACAGACTATTTTGAATGAAAAAAATACCTCGATAAAGGACTATCTTGTTCTATGGAAAATAAGGAAAGCCCTCATCATAATGTATACGTACATATGTACATACGTACGTACATACATACATACATACAATGGAGAATAAGGACTATCTAGTCTAGGACTTTCATGAAATGCTTCACTTGTGAATTATGTAAAAGAAAAGAAGTGTTAAGCAAGGAAGGAAAGGCTGCAAGATATACTTTACTGAAGAGTGAACCAAATTTTGTTATTTCATATGCAAGACAATGGGGAAAATATGGTGGCCCCAATATTGCACAGGATTCAATTACGGCTTTGATATTTCCATTTAGCCCTGTAGAAAGCTTCTGAGAAGCCAACGAAGTCAGTTCTATCTTGACTTGGAAGGACTGTTGAAGCCAAGCTGTAAAATTGGTTGATTATGTGCCATCAATCTGTAAAGCAGAAGGAATTAAGATCTGGGTGGAAGGCTTGTCCCTGATACACTGTATGAAAGGAAAGTCAGTTTGGTTCATAAGTAAGAGATGAAAAGGAGTAGCAGGACAAACTGTAGCTCCTGAGGTCATTGGGAAATGAACGCAGCAGATTGCTAAAACAACTTTGAACCTTTAATGGGCAACGATCTGGGGGATGACAATAGTGGTGACAACTCTAAGGAGGAGTGAAAAATGCAAATATTTTCTTACAGAGTTAAGCTGCCAGATAACCTTTGATACATGGTAATTGTATGAGACTTGAAGGAAGGTGAAGAGGCTATAAGCACTTCAGGGCCAGTTGCCCTTAAAGTTTGTTTCCAGAGAGAAGTAAGCAAACAGGAATGATTGTGATGAACTTGCTTAGTAAATACCTAAAAGCCATGCAAATATCTAACCCATATGATTTTAACCAGAGCAAAGATACAGATCAAAGCCTTTAGGGCCATAAAGCTCAAGATTAGAGGCCTGTAACTGAAGAACAAATTATCGCAATTAATAACTCAAGGAATTTCTGAGAAAGAATAAAGAAAACTAAAAGGAAAAAAGGAAAGGAAAAAAAGTATTTAGACAAAGCAATTCAAGAATGGCCATGTTAATACTGCCGTGGTTGAAAACCAACTGAAAGGATTTCAGTGAGAGCCACATCTAACTGTATGGTATATATGGGTTCAGGGGACTCACAAAATGTTTTGAATACTCTGAAAGATCTGCACAGACACATAATTCATATAAGAAACACAGCACAATGAAAACTGTTCCACATGTTCATTTCTAGTTTTCATTTCATTTCTGTTTATAACTACAATTAATATGAGATAGATTGACTCAATTTTAAAATAAAATTCTTCTATTAGTTCATGCAACCATACTAAAATGTTATCAAAATATGTCATTCAAGATATTTCTTTCCAGATGTAACAGTTGCATGGAAATGAAGTGAAGCACCTTTCATCATTTCTCAAGACTTTAATCTCCAATGAGTGGCACACAGTAATTCAGAAAACACAGCTAGTGAGAATCAGGATATTGCTATTTAGAATAGTTTAAAAAATATTAGTAGAAGTATGTTGTTTAAAAACTATGCACTATAAGTAAAACACTTAGAGAAGATAATGTATAGTATGAATATCTCAATGTACATACATCAGTATGACATTTCAAGGACTATACAGTGTACTATTGGTCCTCTAGATTTATGGTCTTGGGGACTTCAACCTACTGAATATACTGGCTGGTAGGTGTGTTGCTTCAAATGCATAAAACAGTAACAGTACCTACCTCCTTTCCCATATTGAACAAACCACACTAAAACTAGAGTACTAAAAATTGCAGGCAAAAACCAACAAACTCACAGCTTTCATGAAAGCAGAATGACTATCTAATCATTCTACAGGTAATCCCTGGGTTATGTGCATTCCCTTAACAAACATTCAAAGTTACGCAATAAGCGCCCCTATTTTAATATTAATATGAAATGTATTAATAGGATGGGAAGTATTATGATTTGATAGATGGATGGATGGATGGATGGATGGAGATAGATAGATAGATAGATAGATAGATAGATAGATAGATAGATAGACCCACCCACCCACCCTGCCAAAGGTAACAAAATAAATTGTGATCATATACCACATAGTTCACCTAAGGAATTTTAAAATGTACTTTGTAAAGTTGCTTGAGAGCTTGACAATACTGACCTTTAACAAAGATAATGCTAGGTCTACTATACTTGACAACAGAATAATATTCTTTTATCTATTGTTTCCTAACAATTGATCATTTCAGATCAATAAAAATCACAATATTTTTTTACTCTATCTAGATAGTAATCAAATAAACAAATATTATAATATTATAGAGGATATTATATAATCTAATATATAAAACTACATACTTTACTATTTAAACCCATTTATAAGTATACACTTTCCATCAAGTTAATGAAATTTGTATTTATAATTTGGGCTATAAAGTGCCACTTCACTACTTTTTACTGATTAACAGAACTTCAACATTTTAATTTATTTTGGGAAACTAAATTAGGAAATGTGGAGACAAATTTTTTTAAAAAATTTCCATAGTAAGATGCTTAAGTAAATGATGGATACTAAGCAAAAATACTAAAGTACTAAATCTCAAATAATAACAAAACCCTCCAATATTTATTATTAATTCAATATTTTAAGATTTGTAACATAATCATGGACAGATGAATAATATGCCTATAACAACAACCAAGGAAGAAAATTTGGCATTATAAGTAATTATAAGTAATGGAGGGCTTTCAATATATTTTATAGTAATAATTGTCATCTATTGCAACAAAATGACAGAATAAAGAATATCATACACTAAGACTGTACCTGAGGTAAAAATTCTCTTGCCAGGTCTAATGCTCTTCTGTAGGCAGCATCCCCTGCTTCATTCTGTTCAACCACATGACTGATCAAGCCTATTGATTTAGCTTCTTCACCGTCAAGTACACGAGCAGAAAATATTAATTCTTTTGCCAGAGACACACCAATGGTACGAGGTAGTCGCTGTGTCCCGCCTGTAGTTTAGTTTAGGAAAGGTAAGAAAAAACACAAATACTGATGCTATGGAGTATCATCATCTTTAATATGTTAATATATTATATAATATAATAATATAGTTTTAAAAGTGTGACTGATTAATAAGCCTTAGAGTGATTTTACTATTACTGCAACCAGAAAAGAAGAGTAAGAGTTCAAGTACTTTAAGAAAATGCATATGTATTGAAAGCACAATATGATACACATATTATTTTCTTTCTCAAGGCAAATACACATATCCAATTTTAACAGGTCATCTCCACTCAGCAACTTTCCAACATAGAAAATAGATCAAACATATTTATAAAAATGCACTTATCAATAATTTAAGAAAGTATATACGCTGAAATTTGGCCCAACAAAGTAAGTTTTAGTTTTCATTAACCAACAGATCAGTACCTTTATTATCTAGACATCAGCTGCAGTCAAATAGATAAGCTACACTGCTAATGGATGTTAGGCAATGATAACATGTAAGTAGTGTAATATTCAATCTTTAACTGAAGGACTTTCTGTCTGTTAGTTCAGCCACATTTGTTAGATCCTGAACTCTCCCCAGTTATGAAGGTGACATTGGAGTAATTAAGGGATGGGTCCATGCAGTGATTTCTGCTTTTTTGAGGGAGTGGTTCTGCTGATCTGAAGGAGACAATGGCATCCCCTCTTCCCAGGAGTCCATCATTGGCCATTACATTATTTTAGACAATTATTTTCCAGGTTCCAAATTCCACTTTATAGTAAAGGTTGTAGAGAAAGTGGTTGGGCAACAATTACAGAGGATCTTGGAGGAAATGGATTACCTGGACATGTTTCAGTTGAGTTTCAGACTCTATGCAGAAGGTGCTAGTCATGCTTGTCAATGACCTTTGGCAAAGGCGGGACGGTGCATTCATTGATGAATTGAAGGTCTGCCTAACTTAATTATTTCTACCTGCCAAGTATGTGATAACAGAATGGGAACAGAGTCACCTTATAGAGGAGATTAGGAGCATAAAAATTTAGTAAATAAAAACAATAATAAACACTACAGGTCCCTTCTATTAAATGTTATCATCTTGTGGAACTGAGGAAATTTGCCTTTTCTGTTGTGCCTCTATAATAGCAACCCTTCTCTTCCCCTTCCCACATGGAGATACAGAAAGCACTTCAAGGTTCTGAAAAATACTTCAGAACTGGTTTTGGACTCAGGTTTGTGTATTTGTGGATTTGATGTGTTTTGGTTTTATTTGTTATGGTTTGATTGTTTTAATCTGGGCTGCTTGTGGGATTATACTGTATACTTTTATACTTATGCACTCTCACCCGCCACTTACGCATAAACCATTGCCTCTCCCTCCCCCCACAAAGCCAGCTGAATGATTTTGGGCTGGTTACTCCCTCTAAATCCTAGAAAAAATGAAATGGCAAATCAGTTCTGAAATTCTTGCCAGGAAAACTGTAAAGACTCATTCAGGCGTCACTAGCAGTCAACAAGAAACATCATAATTTACTGAAATACATGATTATGGCAGTGAGAATAAATTTTGCCGCACACTGGAAGAAGATATAATCCCAACAATATTTGATTGGGAATTTAAATTTGGAAAATATGCAGCACTGGCAAAATTAACAATATATATTCACAACAGAATTTTAACTAAACGTAAGCAAGAATAATTACAAGATATCACGCGGCATGGCAAATATAAACATTTATAGTTTGGCCTCTCTGTGAATCTAAATGTTTATGAATATTATAAATTAGCAGAAGCCCAAAAAGGGGAAAGTCAGAAACCAAATAGCCTCGTTTTTCTTTTTCTTTTTAGTTGTTATGTCTATTTGGTTTTGTCCATTTCTTTTTTCTTCAATATGCATCAACAGTAAATAATATTACACTGGAGACCTTAATATTAAGTAATCAGCTTAGGACAAAAACATTTACTGTATAAAACTATTTTCATATAATGTGCAACTGCTTTTTATTGTTATTTTCAGCTTTGGATGTAAAAGCTGTATTATCCTAAGCTTATTAATGCTGACATTTTAAATCATAATTAATACTGATATAATATCTTCTTTTTCATCTTTAATGGTCTAGGACTAGGTTATCTAAATATTATAGTGCCAATAATCTATAGTCAGCACTGCACAAATACCATGATACTGAAATAAAATAAAATAAAATAATTAAAAAAAAGCTTTCCTGTTTTCTCACCTAATTCCTAAAAATTCTAATTAAAGAATTTCAAAAAATTGTTCTCAATGGAATAGCCAATTTAAGTACTATAAATATTTCACATTATTTATCTGTGGGGTTTCTAGCATAAGCAAAACGTGAGTCTTTAACCATATATTCCAGCTGTCTAAGATTAAAATGTCTCTTTTTACTCTTTTTTATTTATATAAAAACATCCCAAAGGACTAATGTCTCAGTAGGAAAAAGAAACTATTTTCATTTTTTTATGTTCCGAGAAAGAAAAAATCTATTAACAGAAATTTTCAGATAGCATCTGAAAATGGTTGATTTATAGTTTTTTAAATTTCAGAATGAGAGTCGCTGAAACGTGGCCTGCAATTGAAATGAATCCTATTAAGTAGTACATAAAAATGATTCGTTCACAGCAGGATAATTTGTTTTTTTTAAAAAAATCTAGTTAAAAATGTTTTTATGTGCATTTACTTTTTAGATTTCAAATACATCAATCAGTTTAAATTTCAGTGTGTATGCTTGGAATATTTTCAAACTGTGAGAATAGATAAGAGGATCTTTTGGAGGAGTTCTATGTAGCTGAGAATCCTGAATTAAATTAAGATCACTATGAGTTGACAGAATGGAATAAGGCTTAGGAAAACATCTTTGTAATATTTCAATAAGTTATTCTTGAGGCCATAAAAGTCAATCAGAGCAATAGTGTTATTAATAATTTTTTTCTAATAACAAAATAAAGTATAATTCAGTGTCACAAAGCTTGTATTGTACATTAATTTTAGAATTGCTATTAAGCATAATAACTACCCATATACTAATACAGGTTTGTCCAATCCAACTTCTAGGTCTCTTCACCTGGTAGAATATTTCCTGCAACACAGTATCTGGCTATAAACTTTTCCCACCCACCCACCCTCTTTTTTAATCTGCGCCCAATTAGATTCTAGCTGATTACTTTAGGCCCATGCCTTCACATAGGCAAAATACTTCTCAAAACCAATTTCCCAACATGGCAGACATCTTGTTCTGTGGAAACTTAAAAAGTAATAGATACATAAAGAGAAAGGATTTAAATAATGATTACAGATCTAAACTAAAAGAAAGTAAATATAATAAAGAAAAAACAAATCTCACTCTACTAATATTAAAAATGGGCAAAAAAGCCCTTTATTATAAATCTACAGTAGGTTCTGGCTTAAAGCTCCTCACCTCTCTGACCCTGGAAATAAAAATGTAGAAAAGGAAGCTTCTGTATTCATATAAGAGCAACAACTGTTGAAGTAAAGGAAAAGAAAAGATAAAGTTTGTTACAAAGCAAATAAATGCAAACCCTGTAAGAACTCCACATCAGAGAATTTCCATCACAGAATGTGTACATTTTAAAATATTTTCTCCCAGAAGAAAGATAGAAGATTGCTGGATTTAAAAATAATTAAGTTTCTTGTTTCCTGTCAACAGACATGACAGACATGCTAAATCAATTTTCCTCTTTAAATTTAGCATTTGCAAAGGAAGAACTGGTTAAATCATTATTTTATTTTTACTTCCTACTTATTTTATTTCCACAGCTAGAATCAGCTAGCAACAAGAAGACTTCCTAAATACATTCTTTTATGTAAAATTAACAAAGAGGTCAGCTGATCTGCAGATACAAAAGCAAATGAATTTGTTAAAATTTATTTCAAATAAATCATCTATATTAAGTTAGCAGATACTGCATGTATTGAATTTATCATAAAATCCTTCCTTCTAAGGATTTCATGTGAAATAAAAATAATTAAGTTCAGTACTTCCAAATCTGTATAAAATTTAAGAGCTTCAGCTTTCATAGTTTTAAGGTCTCCATACAGATCTCAAATATACCAGCATCCGGATTCATAAATCTACTTTTTCATCCATTTATAGATTAATTAAGGTTTCACCATTAATTCCAACCTCACTATTGCTTCTCACATAAATAGGAATACATCTCACTTTCATGTTTTCTAGCCCAACAAAATTTGAGGTGGCTCTCAGGGATTTCAAGTGAATTTATATGCTTGTCCAGGTTTTCTCCCAATTATCTGAAGTACAGCTGGGGTGGGGTGGGAGGCACTGCCTTTTTCATTTTACAAGGCTTATTATTAAATACAATGTCCTGGTTCTTAAGGCAAACTGTGAAAGTTTGTGTATGCATCACTTGCTATTTATAGCAGCAATTTTGTTCACATAGTTGGAGGGAAGTAAAAAGAGGCAACTGTTTAGGCTTCAAAATCAAAGTCATACCATTTCCTTTGTAGAATTTTCTATTTTTAGGACAATATTGTAAGACATTAAAACCTTCAGCAGTCATCATCCAATTTACCATACAAGAAATTAGGCATATGCCAAACATTTTGTGGTTTAATATTCTAATTATGGAACTAGCAAATATTCTGGAAGTGTTCTGGCCCCCAAGCCACCCCTGCCAACCACAATGGACCATCCTGATACCAGAACAGCCTATTTCAAATTTAGATCACTTCCAGAATATATAGAATTGGTAAAATGATCAATTTCAGAATCAGAACATTCTGTGAAAGCTTGCTTGCTAAAAACTAATAGTCTACACTTGCATCATTCAAACCAAATGTAAAGTGTTTACATAGATTTTCTGTATTTCAGAACAATCCTCCAAGCGCTCTCTCCAAAGCAGGTAGGTAGCATTTATGCAATGACATCATTGTGCATGTGTTGTCATAGTGGTTTTCTGAGAACACTGCTACATTGGAGTACTATGTTATTGTTCAGAATAAAAAGTTAAGGAAGATTATCACCTCAATTTATGACTGCAACAATTTATGATCAAAATTCTGGGTTCGTTTGTGGTCATAAGTCAAGGACTTCCGGAGTACACAATACTATATTTTGTGTCTTAAGTATAAATTAAAGTAACAGTAGCCAGAACAAAACCACATATTTAAATTAAAAATAAACCACAATACAAAACATAAAGTGTGATGCACTGTGGCCTTCAGAAAAAACAGCAGAGAAAAGTAGATAATTTTTCCTGTTATATGAGCTGTCAGTATTGAACTGCAAAATGGATAATCATCACCTCTAAAAATCTATTCTTCTGTACATGCTTCATGTTCTATAATGACTAAAGAAAACCTATGTTTTAAATGCACGATTATGCTAACTCAGCTGTAACTGAAAGCATGGTTGGGTGTTGATTTATAATGTACTTTGAAGATTTTCATCAATAGCTGCATTTTTCAGCTGTAGCAATACATGTATTAAAAGCTTAAAATCAAGAATCCACAAATATTGCTCAGGTTTACTAAACATCATCTATTGGTGTTTACCAACCACTTCTTCGCCTTCTCTAAATCTACTGATCTGCACCAAAGCTTGGGGTAAGGGTTTCTGTCAGTTTTGCCAGGAGATAAAGAAAGGATAATATAAACGATGTTCTGTTTCTCATATTTATCAAATTCCACACAAATAAGCTAATACCCTAAACTATGATTAAGGAGCAAGACTGGCAAATAAAGTCACCTGATATTATATTACCTATTCCAAGTACAACTGAAGAATACCTAGAAATATATTTTAACATGCTGTATAATGCAAAGAAGCTTTTAAAACACCAGATAATGGGACATTATCGGGTTTTTTGTATGCAACGAAATTTCATTTTAATGTATGCCGATTAGTGTACATTCAAAGTGACAATAAAGTTATTCTAAGTCTAAGTCATTTGAGGAACTACTGCTAGATTTATTAAATCAGTTACAATGAAATTCATCTGAATCAAATTCTATTTTGGGGATAGCAAGCAGGAAAACACATGCAAGCCACACTATTCTTCTTAATTTATAAACACAGAACTAATCCACCTCTTTCTATTAGCACTTGAGATACATTGTTTAATTATTTGGAAATAAGATTGGCGGTTAAAACATCTGCTTTCTATACTATATTATAACCATTTCTCTTGAGAGTATATAACTTTGTAAGCCTAAAATAATATTATATCAAAAGCAAATAAAGTTGAGTTTTCATACAAACTAGTAATGATGAGAAATAATTTGATTACAACATCAAGACTTCAGATTAATCATGAGCTCAAATAGTCAGACCCAGATTTATGATCAGAGTTTGCATATAAAAATGCTTTGATTTTGTAAGTGCCCCTTTGTATCGTTCAAGAAACATGTCAATACTCTTAAATTCACAGGTCCAAAAAAGATACAGTGCTAAATCACCACATGCTATGTTTTGTAATTCAATGGCCAGTCTGCATCTTCATGAATTTTTACCATGTAGTAATAAAGGAGCTTGTGCACCTGGCTATTATCGTTGGGGATATATAATTTCTGCACAGTTCACCCTTGAGGGACATGTCATAAACAAAGTATCTAGTAGAGAATAAAATGGCAACCTCTCTCCAACATTTTGTCAAAAAGTTACTGTTTTCTAGTAAAAATAATCTTCTCTTTTTGTTTCTTGTACAAACTCTCCTCCTCTTGTTAGCTTTAGGTACAGATTAGCATTACAGGTAGTCCTTACAACAGTTCATTTAGTGACTGTTCAAAGTTACAACAGTGCTGAAAAAAGAGACATGACCATTTTTCACACTTACAACATTGTAGCATCTCTGTAGTCATGTGATCAAAATTCAGACTCTTGCCAACTGGTTCATATTTATGACCGTTGCAATGTCCAAGGGTCATGTGATCCCCTTTTGGGACCTTCTGACAAGCAAAGTCAATGGGGAAACCAGATTAATTTAACAACCATGTTACTAAGTTAACCACTGCAGTGATTCACTTCACAACTGTAGCAACAAATATCGTAAAATGGACCAAACTCACTTAACAAATATTTCACTTAGCAACATAAATTTTGGGCTCAATTATGGTCATAAATCGAGAACTACCTGTATAGTTATACAAACCAGCTATTTTTACATTATTCACATTCATCAAGCTTTGAAATATTTAAAGTTTGACAAATGATAAACAGATATAGTAATATTAAAAGAAAATATTTAGCTACCTATCATAAAGAAAAATGACGCATAGTTGATAAAACAGTCAGAATTTTTTTCTCTTCATGCCATTTCAGATCTTAGTCACTGAAGTAGGAAATAGTTCATATTTATAATTTCTTCATGAAGTCAAGACAAAGCAATATAGAATAAATCTATTTTTCCTTCTAACTCCTACATTCTCAAGGAGATAGGATCTTCAATTTTTATCAGCCAAATCTAAGATCATCTGGGCAGTGCAACTATATCTACAGGTAGTTCTCAATTTACAACCATTTCTTTAGCAACTGTTCAAAGTTACAACAGCACTGAAAAAAATGATTTATGACCAGTTTTCACACTTATGACCATAGCAGCATATCTACGGTCACATGATCAAAATTCAGGCAGTGGCAACTAGCTTGTATTTATAACTGTTGCAGCATTCTGGGGTCATGTGATCAGATTTTGCAATCTTTCCAGCTGGCTTCTGACAAGTCAATAAAGGAAGCTGGATTTGCTTAAGGATTGTGTGATTCACTTAATTGCAATGATTCAATTAGCAACTGTGTTGAAAAAGCTCATAAAATCGGGCAGGTCTTGCTTAGCAACTACTTTACTTAGCAATGAAAATTCTGGTCTCAACAGTGGGTTTTAAATCAAGGACTACCTGCATATTCAAAGGAAGAAAATTAAAGAAGTGCAACTTCTCCTTCCCCTTTGGGCAGATTGGGGACTTTTGCTGCACAGAAGAAAACTAAGCAGCAAAAGTCCCCAATCTGCCCAAAGGAGTTCATTTCTAATGCTAAAAATCTTCACAAGTAAAAATGGGCAGCATGCATATCCATGCTCATTGCTTGTACAATGGTATTAGAAGGCAAAATGCCCTACAGTCTAAGAGTAGAGAGATATCCTCACCAGCCCAACCTGGCTTCATTTCCATTCTCCATGACTACACACTTTAGATATCATAAATTGGTAAGACATTAACAACATTATGACAATTATCAAACCATAGAGATGGAAAAACTGTATTGAAAGTCAATTTGGTGAAGTCATTAATATACTGGCCTAGAAACCAGGAGACTGTGCATTCTAGACCTCCCTTGGGAATAAAAACCAATTGGGTGTCTTTGGGCCGGTCACTCTGGTTCAGCCCAACCAATCTCACAAGGTTATTGCTATGGTGAAAATAGGAGGCAGGACTATATTAAGTATATTCATCACCTGGAGTTATATACAAAAAATTCAGAATGAAAATGTTGTTGTTCAAAACTGGCCAGCATCTGGACAACATTCAAGAGATGGAACATAACAATAACATTTATAAAGAACTGTGACATAATTATGAAAAAAAATTCCATACCTGCACCAGGAATGATCGCTAATTTTGTTTCAACTAGACCCATTTTTGCAGAAGAAGCTTTTAAAAAAAAAGAAAGTTGGTTTTTGAAAAACCTACAAATTGTTTTAATAAAATAACAGGAATTTAGTAAAATAAAACTGTAGCTTCACTGTATGAGTTTCAGATAAAAGTGAAAACACTAAAAAGGGCAGAATGTTAATGGCTATGTTTCAATTCAGCACTAAGCCATGGTTTACTAAGTAACCAAAAACAAATTCCACTGTGCCTTAGGTTGTATGGGAAAAAACTTTTGCTCTCAACAGGCTCTGTAGCTTTTCATTTTTCAGAAAGGGCATTGCAGGATGTAGGAAATCAACTCTTCTTTAGTGCCCATGTGCAAATTGTAGTGCCCATTTCTGTTCTCTGTAAAAAGCCAGTATGTGTCATGATTTTCTAATATTTTCACACCCAGGAAAACAAAATTCTTTGTATAGCAATTGTTCTGCATACAATATATGCCCATTTAGAATACTTTTCTTTATGTATTTATGTATGTATTTTTTCAATACACTGATCTCCAGCTAAACTAGGCAAATTGTAGTGAACTGGACAGTCCAATGATTAAATATTTTAATTGGGATATATTGCTGTTGCTTTTATTGTTTGTATTTTTATTTTTTTAATTGCTGTAAACCACCTGAGTTGCTTACACAAAGAAAAAAAAAAGCAAGGTATAAATTTATTAATATATTTTTAAAAATGCTTTTAAAGGGAGAAATTCAGATACAGGAAGTTGTAATTCATCCTCTCTTCCTGTGAACTTTCTCACTTAGAGCAAGGCTACAGAACAATATCCATCATGCAATTATCTTTATAATTTAGTGTTTGGTTTTATGTCTAAAAGCTTTGATTAAACAAAGGTTAATTATCTTTTTCCATCATTGGTTTTATTAATGCTGTAATTTTCTGCATCTGAATGAGACAAGTAAGAGGTGAGGGATCCATTCCAGTTTTAGCAACCATCTCCATCCAATAGTCTAAGCTAGAGGATGTTTCCAGGATAGGTGACATAAAAACCTTTCACCTACTCCTGTAAAGTGGAAAAAATTGTTTTAATGTGAACACTTCATTAACTTGTTCCTTTTTTTTATCCTTTTTTGTACTTATTAGCAACAACCCTTTCATGACACAAATCACAAAATTTTTATATTAGATTAAATACATTTACCCTGGATCCAAAAATTAAAAGATACATGCTAACACTAATGTAGGTACTATAATAATTACCTAATTAAACAACTAATTAATAATTAGTTGAGATGTTCAAAATTGCATTAAAATAGCATTCAGAAATAATTTCCCCTACACTTGAATTAAACAAGGTTTAGAAAAACGCTTTAATTTTAAAAATAGGACTAAATCTTACCTGCCACTCTTATATCACAGGCTAGAGCCAATTCCAGGCCACCACCTAATGCAATGCCATCTATTGCAGCTATAGTTGGTACTGGAAGATTAGCTAAAAGGCAAAGTTAACAAAAATATTTTCAGCCAGTTGTCAATATTTGTAATATAAAATTAATTTTATGAAATTTCTAATATCTATTTATTTATTAATTTATGTGCCGTCCTTCTTATCTAAGTGTGATTCTATGGATAACAGCATTTTTTTTTTGTTTCCTTCCAATATTAAGTGCAAACTAAATTCTGACTACAGAGATATTTGGGATATTAACAGCAATAAAAAAAACAAGATACCAGAATTAATTATAATAAACAGCAGTTATGACAAAACAGTAATTCCTGATCTGTAAATATGCAAATCAAAATAGATGTTATCTATTCATGAAACTAACAAATATGGAAGTTATTTACTTTATTACTTTAATTTATATCCAAGCAGCCAAGGTCCTCCTGGCTACAGACTCCACCTTTTGTTCAAGTAGGAGCTATGAAATGAGGAGGATCAAATAAAAATTCGAAAATAACAACCCCAGTCATTGTTTGTCACCAGCATTCATACACCTGTACTACCAGTGAATATGTAAGTTTTACTTAGTTGTTTGTTTCAATACAAGATAACTGACTCAACGCTAACAGGAAGTTATCACTGAAAGACAATAAATTCTTAAAATACTCCCATTCCAATCTTAATGGATTCTTAACCTCATTATCAAAAACTTTTTATGAATTTTCGTAAATACTCCTTCTGAATTGCTGATGAAGTTATTTTCTCTCTTTACAAAAGAATATTTAGCAACTGGCCAGGGCCGGATTTCCCTATAGGCTAACTAGGCTTCAGCCTAGGGCCTCAAGATCAAGAGGGGCCTACATTCAAATTGTTAGCAAAATTAAAATTACACTTTCACTATAGGTGAAAGGACCTCATAAGTGGAATAGCCTAGGGCCTCTTTTCATCTAAATCCGGCCCTGCAACTGGCATGTTTAGTGAGAGATCCATGAACAGAGGTGGCTGCTAGATTGATGGCAGACTCCATCCTCCCCTGCTCTCTACCAATTCCATCTTTTTGCTTATCATATTGATGTAATATTCTCATTGTTTCCTTTGTCATTGTTTATTTTACTGTTCTATTATTTTACTTCTGCTCGTTTTACATTCTCTTCAATTTTTATTCCTTTTTATTATTGTAAGCCGTCTAGAGTAGCCCCACGGCGAGATAGGCAGCAAGTAAATTTAACAAATAAAATAATAAACAGAATTGACAGCTTGAAACACAATTATAAAATAATTGTAAGCACTTTGAATTATTTACTTATTGCTTAGCGCATTGTAAGCTGCCCTGAGTCTCCGGAGAAGGGCGGCATATAAATCAAATAAAAAATAAAAAATTTACAAATATAATGTTTTGATACTGTGGAAAAAAGAAATGCCTTGGCTCTACTCCTTCTCTCTCTCTCAATCTAACTGTTTAGAACACGTTTGTTTTAACATTAAATCAGTTGAAGTTTCCGATTAAAGTTTTCTAGGAAACAGTTTAATTTCTCCCCCCCCCCCATTTGATCCTATTCAAACTGTTTGAGAGTTTAACTTACTTGTGAAGGATATTCACTGAAATAAATTCTGTCTATACATTTACAGGGCTTATTTATACTCAATTCAGTAATACTGTATCTAACAACAGAGAGAAATATAAGAAAATTAATATTCTTTAGTGACAATTATCTCTTTGTCATGTTAATGATAATTAATCTTAATTTATTAGAGTTATGAAAAATTTAAATAGGATTTTTTTTATCACTGGGAACTTTATTTAGTACTACCATTCATGACTGATTGGCTATCAGGAATATTTCAATGAGAGTTGTACTTACCCATTTCATTAATAGTAGATCTTGCTTTTGAGACAAAAGAGCTTACTTCACTAGCATGCATTTTAGCTCTTTCTTTAAGGTCAGCACCTGCAAATGACATTTTATGGTCATATTTAAATATCATCACGGTTTCTGTTCAAATCAACCCATCTTCCCCAACCTCAATATCCATCAAATGTATGAACATCAGCATTTTCATGAATGGCAAGGCTGGCTAGGATTTTTGGGAGGTAGGCAATATAAGTGAAATAAACCAAAATGGCATAATCCATTCATACTTTCAGAAAAAGTAACATGGAAATGTAAATCTATTTCTTGACAAGATCTGGAAACTCTGTCACTTTTCTTTACAAACATTTGGATATAAAATAAAAATGTGTATACAATTTACAAAGTACTTAAAACATACCCCATTGCATGTTTTATATGCATATTTCATAGAAAACATGGAAATAAACCAGTCCTCATTTCATAAAGGGCAAAAAAAAAAAAAAGAGGAGGAAGTTAATAAAACAAACCAAACTAATTTTCAGATGGCTGCAACTGTTTATGTAAAAAAGGGATTTGTTTTTCATGATAATTCTGAAAACTATCTCTAATTCTTGGTGTTATAAGCATGACCATATCTTTTGAATGCTATGATAAAATGAACAATTTTACAAACAAAATAAGGAAAATGAAAATAAGGAACATGTCAACAATTCAACAAATCATTTATAAAAAGTTATACATTTTATCCAACACCAAAAAATAATTGTTTCAAATTTCATGCTTAAGTCTCATCTGAAGCAAAGCACTCAATTAGAGCAATTAAGAGACTTTGCTCTATACAGTCAATGTAACAAAAGACTAAATTTATTAAGTCTATAGCCAGTTATTTAAATTTAGATTAACAACAACTTTTCTATGCAAAGTCTATATAAAAAGTTTTATAATTGTAGTCGACATGCATATGTATCCATAATTAAATGTGACTGAAACATTTCATATAATCCCACTCACGTATATTAAAAGCCCAGGATGACAAAAATTAGTGATGCAATAGCCGATTTTATTTCTGCCAAGATTTAAAAAAATTAACAAGTAAAAAAAAAATCTGAGTCAGATTTAAAAGTGCCATTTATACATTTTCAGGGATATCAGATTTATATCAGGCATTTGGAGTAGGACATTAGAATGAGCTATTTCCTACTGATTACCATAATACATATAATTCATATGCTCCCCTAACCCAAGAAATGAAAAATACTCAATTTATCTTGTCTATTTCAATGATTGCTATATTAGTCTTCATTTAACTAACTTAAATTTATTTTCGTTGGACCTGAAACTGAGGAGTGCAATTATGGAAGGATTATAATTAGAAGATTATTAGATGGAAAAATGTTTGAATGTTTGCAGTTATATGATCATATCTAACAGCTCTAATAACATAAAAAAGGTTTACACAATCTAAAGAAATTGTTCCTGAAAAAGCCAAGCTCACACATATTACTCACACATGCTTTCTTACAAATCAATTTCAGAATAATTTTACAAATAGCTATGTAATTTCTGACTCTGATTAATAGCAACAGAGTATATACCATTTTTATGTTCTTAATCTAGATATTTCGCAATCAAAACTTAAGTATCAGAAAATTTAAACAAGTGGCAAAAAAGTACTGACATTCAGTGACATCAGAAAAGAAAATAATATTATAATATTTTCTGGTTATTATTCTCAGCCTACACAACTCAATAGACCTCTGCTAAAATTATGGCAACAGAAATAAGAGTCTCTGCAAAACTATTGCCTTGGCCACAAGTTACACTTACAATAAAATATGTACTGCCTTTACATTTGCTGTTTAGTTAAAATGGATAAAAATTAATAATGGTGAATTGCAAGAATATGCAATTTCTGCAGCACTGTACTTTAGAACCATTATCTGAGTATAAGGCTCAACTTTAAATTTTGAAACTTTAAAGAAAAAGACAGAGAAGATGCCATGCCATGGTAGCAACATAAAATAATTAATGAACTGAGTAGATATTTAAACACACAGTTCTGTTTCCTTTCCAATATGAGGGGTAAACAGTAATATTTTATTGGCTGCTACAAACTAGGTTCTCAACTTCAAAAAACTTTCTTCAATATAAATCTCCTAACCCTCCTCTGTAGCTCATTATTGCATCTACATACTATTAAAACTCGTGTCTGTAATCTTTTTAAACCAAGATATCTCAAATGGGATAACTTTCAGAATGTGGGAACCCATTATTCCCCAAGGGAATGAAAATTTTGGAAACTTGTGGCTGCTTCAGCGCTGCCAGTTGCTATTTCTTCAGTACTCCCATCACACTACTATAGTCATGTGATCTTCATTTTCAACTTCCCCTAACAGCTTCATGGCCAGTCCTTTGTGAGTCAGGGAAGAGGAGGGAAGCAGAGGGCAGGGCAGGGCAATTTCTAATGTTCATTGCTAGCTTCCTACAAGGAAATTCAGTGGGGAAACTGAGAGAAATTCAAAAGTCACCCCCCTCCCACTGAATTTTTGATGTCCATGGTCATTCCATTTCTCTGTTTAAATAAGGAAATATTTCTGAAACAGTGACCCAATGAGTCACAGGTTGTCTAGGTTTCCTTAATATTACTGGTTTGAGAATGTTGCTTCTTGTTAATCATAAGAGGCTCTGAAACACTTCGCAGCTAAAGCTCCAGATAAAATACCCTTAAATAACAAATTTTAGAAAGCTACAATATACACTACATTTCTAACATTAGACAAGGCAAACAAAAAATTCATCATCCTTTTCCTTTTGGCAATGCTTAATTTCATATACTACAGTGGATTTTCATGGTCCATCAGAGCTACTGATCTCTAAATTATACATGGTTGCATTTCCCCAGGCAGACCAGGTATGCTCTGGAGTCACAACTGTTCCTTGAAGAGGTCACTGTTGCAGCTAGAAGGGTCTTTTTGTGCAGCTTTCAGTTGTGTTCCAGTTGAACCCAATCCTAGATCAAGAGGTTCTATGCTCAGAGTCACTCAGGCCCTAATTAATTCCTGTTTTACATTGGGTTGCCTTTGAGGAATATTTAGAAGCTTCAGTTCAAAAACAGATAAAGACAGTCCATGGGTTATGATGGCAATTGGGATTGGGAACTCTTATCTCTGTCATAAAATGTGATGTCACATGACTGTATCATTTAGCAATGACAATTAAGGAAGTAATATTTGCTGTCCTTAAAACTTTGGCAATTTTAAATGTTTATATTTTTAACTGTAAGTCATCCAGAATCATGAATGTGAAATGAGAGCTAAATAAAGCATTGGGTCATTAAGTCAGGACTTCACATGATTTAATTTCCTGCCAGCTTACCCACTGACTTTGTTTTTAGGAAGCAATCAGGGAATGCTGGACACAGAGATTGTGTAACTGTGGCTCACTGAGATGTTGTAATCATAAGCCAGGTGCAAGCATATGAATCACATGACTGCAGGGACATGGCAAGGGCTGTAATTCCGAGGATATATCTTAAGTCCTCCTTATTCAGCATTGTTGTAACTTGTAATTGCTGAATGGTCATAATCTGAGGACTACCTGCATAGATACAGATATTTAGACACACGCACACAAAGTCAGGAAAGCTCTCCAGTCTATATAGCTCATTACATGTTATGGAACTTTTTTCTTAAAAGGGCACAGCAAATATTACTTAAACATAGAACTTGTCTATATTTAGTTCCCAAATAAAGGATTCTGAGTTACTTCTGCTGAATTTAATAGATTATGGATTTCCAGATGGATAAGAAAAATTAAGTTTGCATACCAGCACAAAATACCCCAGGAACTTCACTTCGGAATATAACTGTCCGTACTTTTTTGTCTGTTTTCAAAGCGTCCATAACTTTTGATATCTACAGAGAAAAGGTATGGATATTATCAACATTAATTTTCAGATTTGCACATTAGTAAGTAGTTAAAAGTTTCATTTACTTACCGTTTTAATAAGATTTTTATTAAGTGCATTTTTTGCATGTGCTCTGTTTATTCCAAGTACAACAATTCCTGTATGCAGGACAAAAAATAATTACAAAAATCAGTTATGCATTCCAAAACATTTAATGCTACATTTTTAAGACTTCTACGTCTTTGGGGGAAAATGCAGCAGTTTATATGAATAATTATTGCTGGGCATTTATCTGAAAATTTAGATGATATAATAACTAGCATGGAAATACACAATTAATGCTTAGTTGATAAATACATTTTAATATATTTCTTATTTGAAAACTATACTAGATAATTTGGAGTATTAAAAATCTTACTAAAGTAAGAAGGTAAAATAAATTAGAAATAACATAAAATAAAGTAATAATGGCAATAGCACTTAGACTTATATACCGCTTTACAGTGCCTTACAACCCTCTCTAAGCAGTGTACAGAATCAGCATATTACCCCCAAAAATCTGGGTCCTCAAGATACAAGTTCTAAAAGATTAAATACTTAAAGACTAATCACTATACAGGTAGTCCTTGACTTATGACCACAACTGAGCTCAAAATTTATGTTGCTAAGTGAGACATTTGTTAAGTGAGTTTTGCCCCATTTGATTACCTTTCTTGCTACAGTCATCAAATGAATCACTAAAGTGATTAACACAGCTGTTAGGGAATCTGGCTTTCCCATTGATTTTTGTTGTCAGATTACAAAAGATGATCACATGACGCTGGGACAGTGCAACCATCATAAATCAGTTGCCAAGAGGCAGAATTTTGGTCACATGACCATGGAGATGCTGAAATGGTCGTAAATGTGAAAAACAGTCACAAGTCACTTTTTCAGTGCTATTATAACTTTCAACGGTCACTAAATGAACTCTTGTAAGTCGAGGACTACCTGTACCATAAAACTATTTACTATAAATAATACACTATAAATTGGAATAGATGTTTATTAAAAAGACAGGAAATGAGAATTAAAACAAGCATAAAATTAGAGATATATTTTCTCACAAAGCATGAGTTTTGAATGCTTTTCCTCGCAAAGTACACTTTTCTCCTCTCACTTTACTTATCTAAAATAATCATTTATATTGATCTCTGAATATATTGCAAAATTCAAGAACATGACATTCAAAAGATAACTGTACAGCATTCCAGAAAGCATAATCAGTATATCTGTGTAGGTGCATCCAATCAGGTCAATTTAAAATGCAAAGACTTTATTGTACTTTTAGCTTAAGTTCTGGGCAGACATTCTTGATACATTTATAAGATTTCAATATGATTTCAATATGAGTATTTATCCGTACATATTTTCCAAGAAGTTCTGCATTCTCTTTTTTTTATTTAAAAAGTTTTAACAATCATTACAAAAAATTTTCCCCCTCCACCCCCATCCCCCCTCTCCCTCCACCCCCTCCCCCCCGAGACCCACCCCCCGGACTTCCCAGAGCAAAAACAGGGTATAGCATAACAAACATAAGCTAATTTAAAAGTTTTGTTTAAAAGTTTTTGTTTTTGTGAGACCTACTTCTTCTTTTCTTGACTTTTTGTGGGTTGGATCTCTATCCTAAATTCCTTTCTGTAGATTGTGTATCGTCTATTTGGTTTTTAAACTAAACAACAGTGTAATGCCAGTTACTTATGAGAGGACTGAATATACGAAAAGATAATGGGCAAAGTATTGGTTTATTTTATCCTGAGGAGAGTGACAGATCTCTGCAGTGCTGAATTTTTTGGGATGTGAAAAAGGCCTTAAATCGAATGGTTGGAAATATCTTGTTTGTTTTTTGGATTTCTTGATAAATATACTACGTGTATGCTGAGTTACATGGCAAGAGATCTATTGGATTGGGGCACGCAGAAGATCTGGTTGTTACCCTATTATGGTGGTTGGAATTAATAATCTGGATAAAAGACACCTCTATAGACATTATATGGAATATAAATATAAAGTCACTCGGGTGGTTGTTGTGTTCTTTTTTTTTTCTTTTTGCAATATGAAGATATTTGTTACTGATGGGGGCAGATGGTAATTGAAGATACTGAAAATACTGTTGGAATTAGGATGCGATGTTACCCTAACATGGGCGATGGAGTTTATTATCCAGCTGAAAGACATTACAGAAGATATTATATGGCTTACAAGCCTAAAGTTTTTTTTCTTTTAGGATTTTATTTACATAAGGGAATATTTTTCTAGTGGAGTGGGCAGAAGAATTAAGATATTAAGAACAATCATGGTAGTTTTGTAGGAAAGTGGGGGGAGATAGGTTAGGTTATTGATTGTTTAGTTTTAAAAAAAAGGGATATTATGTTTAGATGTGAATATATGTAAAAGATTTGAGCTAAGAGACATAATGATGGGGGGGAAGGAAATGGGTAGCTGAACTGAATAAATGTTAAATTAGGATTTATTGTATAGTCTTATAATGGAAGTATGTTCTGAAATGTTATATCGTATGGGGGGTAGTAAAAGGGTAGATCATGAGCAGAAATCGTTAAATTGGGAGATATAATAATATTATTATGTTAAATTAGGAGTTATTAGACAATGTTATAATAGAATGTCACTTTGAAATGTATATTATAGTATAGTATAAGGGGGATATGATAATTTTATTAGAAAGAAAGGGTCAGCATATGGAGATGGAGTAAGTGGATGGTAAAGTATGATATAATCTGTTATGAATTTGGGTTTTACTATGAAGAAGTCAAAGGGAAAGGGGAGGGGGAGGGGGGTTAGAGAGGAGGGGGGGAAAAAGGGGGAAAAATTTGTATTTGAAAAACTTTTTCAATTAAAAAAAACAAACAAACAAACATAAGCTAAAATAAGCTAACTTTCTGTGGTCTCCAAACTCCCCCTTGCTCTTTAACTCCCCTTTCAACTAAATAACCTGTTGTGCCCATGTGACACCCCTCCTGCGCGAGCTGCACTGGCTCCCAGTGGTCTTCCGGGTGCGATTCAAGGTGTTGGTTGCCACCTTTAAAGCGCTCCATGGCATAGGACCCGGGTACCGTCTTCTGCCACCAATAGCCTCCCACCGACCAGTCCGTTCCCACAGAGAGGGTCTCCTCAGGGTGCCATCAGCCAAGTTGTGTCGGCTGGCGACACCCAGGGGGAGGGCCTTCTCTGTGGTAGCTCCAACCCTGTGGAACGAACTGCCCCCGGAAATTCGTAAGATCTCCGACCTCCGGGTGTTTCGCTGCGCATTGAAGACCCTGTTGTTCCGCCAGGCCGGACTATCAACACAATAGTTTTAAATTGGGGTATTTAAATTTTTTGAGGTTTTAAATCTGAGCCAATTTATTTAATTATTTTAAATTTTATATTGTTGTTTTGTCTGTGTTTTTAAATAGGCTGTACACCGCCCTGAGTCCTTCGGGAGAAGGGCGGTATAGAAATAAAATTATTATTATTATTATTATTATTATTATTATTATTATTATTATTATTATTATTATTATTATTATTAACTAAACATATTAAAAAAGGAAATATAGATTTCATTCATAAGCTATTTATTTATTTATTTATTATATTTCTATACCGCCTTTCTCCTGTAGGACTCAAGGCGGTGTACAGTCAAGAAAAATATAGATACACAAACATCATAAAATTGCTAATTAAAATTATTACTTAATTATTATTTGAAACTTTTTAGTCCAATATTTGTTTTGAATATAGTCAATCCATCTTCTCCATTCCAATATATATCTTTCATTTGAATGGTCCTTCAAATACGCTGAAATTTTAGCCATCTCTGCTAAATTCACTACTTTTAATGTCCATTCTTCAATAGTAGGCAAATCTTCCTTCTTCCAGTACTGTGCCACCAAGAGTCTGGCTGCTGTTATTAAATTTAAAATCAACTTAGTCTCTATAACAATACAATCTGTAATTATGCCTAACAGAAAGAACTGTGGAGTAAATTTTATCTTCTTTTTGAGAATATTTTGAATAATCCACCATATTTTTATCCAAAATGCCTTAATTTTTTTACATGTCCACCATATATGATAATACGTGGCATCATCACATTCACATCTCCAACACTTAGGTTGCACACTTGGATACATATAGGCTAGCTTTTTAGGATCCAGATGCCATCTATAAACATTTTATTAAAATTCTCTCTTAAGTTTTGGGCTTGCGTGAAGTTCACATTTCTAACCTATATATTTTCCCATGTTTCCATTATTATTGGTTCTTCAATATTTTGTGCCCACTTCATCATACAGTCCTTAACTAACTCCGTTTCTGAATCTATTTCTACCAACGCATTATACAACCTTTTTATATGCATTTGACTTTGATCTCTAATCTGTTTTACCAAGTTCTCCTCATTTTGCAGAAAACCAATTTTTTGATCTTCTCTCCATCTAGCTTGCAACTGTACATATTGAAACCATGTTCGAATTGTCCTTTCTTCTCTTAGTTGATTCAAAGATTTTAATTGTAGTATACCTCTTTCCTTGTTAAGAAGCTCTGTATATGTAATCACATCCTGCCTTTGCTCTACACTTATATTCTCTATCGTGTGTACTTCTCGTTTAGTTTATACTTGTACTTTTTCCAGACACGCAATAGAGTATTCCTTAATATATGACTTTTAAAAGTTCTGCATTCTCAAACACGCAGAACGTAAGAATTCAAATAAGAATAATTATAGACTGTATTTTTTTTTTTAGAAATAGGAACGTGTATCAGCGACAGCTAAATGACAGGCCACCTTCAAATAAAACGCAGGACTTTCAAAATCTGCACATCAGGCATCCCGACCTTACAAGCCACCCTCCCCAGTCTCCTAAACCAGAGTAAGGCTTTCCCGAACAAGCGCCTGTAACAGGCAGCATCACAGAACACGAGAAAGAGCCGCGCATGCGCTTTATGATTGTGGCAGCTCGCGCAACCCGCCCCCGCCAACGGCAGAATTTAAAGGGTCAGGCAGCTTCATCATTTCGGACAGATAATTGGATGTGGAGACGTCCCATCGACGAGTCTCCGCATCTGACAAGCAAAAAGCCTTACAGGGCAGAACTGGAGGGAGGGAGGGGAGGGGAGGGAGGGAGGGGGGGGGGAACAAAAGGCTTTCTTTGGAAATGTTGCTTCAGGGCTGAGTGACAGGTTAAAAAAAAAAAAAAAGACCCCGCTCCATCCACGCCGGCTCCAGCCGTTACCTTTATGCTCGTCGTCCAAATACCGAACCCGCAGTTCCTCCTCCAGTCCTTTGGCTTCGGAACTGTATTTTCTCACGGCCGCGGTCAGGCCACAACAGCTGCTAGGGCTCACGCGGCCCAGGGAGAAGGAGGAGGCGGGTGACCAAGCGACGGCGGCTAAACCCCCTGGATGGTGAAAGAGCCTAAGAGCTACCTTGGCTGCCGCCGTAGCCGCCATGTTGCCTGTCAAAGGAGCACGCACAGCGAGCCCGTCTCCAGTGCGGTCACGTGACGGCCACTTTTCGCGCGGGCCGCCAGAGGAGCGGGGCCCAACCGACAAAGGGCCTGGAAGCGGCACGTGACTCTGGGAGCGATTGGAGCCAAAGCTCCGTGGTGCAGGTTTTGCTCGATCGATTCTCCGGAAAGAGATCCTCTTGCTACTCGGGCAGGCTTTACAAACCCTTCGCCCTGCCCCGAGGACTAAAGAATGGCCGTATTGCGAAGTTACAAGTCAACTTTTCCTATTTATTGCCTTATTAGAAAGTTTTTCGCCGGATGGAAAAGGAGGAACGAAATATTTCCTAAGGAAAAAAAAATAGCATTTTCCTTCATTTTTGTGCGACTTTTACTGTTTTGGGCCTCGATTCTGTAGGGGGCTGTGGTTAAGATCAATCGTCATCATCACCGTTTTTATTTCTTTTAATTTCAATATAGAATTAAATAAAGCGTTGCTTATTCTTTAAAAAGTAATTAAAACTTTAAAATGCTTTAAATTAATATTAAAATCATTTAATGGTGACAACACGAATGGTATCGTGAATGTTTTTTTTATCGTGGAATATATGCTTTGTATGCTTCTTTATATTTCGGCAACATAATATACTGCAACATATAGACAACATAATGGAGCAATTCAGCAGTCTTTATATCCATGCAAAATTTCCATCACACAAGCCTATTGACTTTGTTGTATGTTTTGATTAAATCATGGACAAAAACTTTTATTTCCTGTAGGCATATATTTCTCAATAGTTGGCTAAAAAGGGAAACTGGTCTGTGTACCCTAGCTCAGCATGAAGTTTCCCCTCATTTTCCAAATTTTACAGTGGTTTTTCAGTCAAAATTCTGTCAAGGAGCTTCTCGGAATGCTTAAGTTAAATTGTCCTGTCGTTTTTGCATTTATTCTTGCTACCACCTTATAGCATTCTTCTAATCTGCATTTCTGCAGTCTTTTGCAGAAGACTGCAGTTAAAACGTTGTACATTTATTGCATAAAGAAATAATACACATATCCCCAGTTAAATGTGAGGAAACAGACCCAAAGATTGTGAGGACATCAAGGGCTGAGAAGCCAAGCAAGGGGATGTCTCAGTATGTAGCCTCTCAGGGCCTCTCCCATCCCTAAGGCGCCATCTGCTCAATGTCTAGCACTTTCATTTAACAACTGCATCAGAAAGTTGTTGCTGAGGCTGTCTTGCTTAATGGCTGTCACTACTTGCAACTGTAATGGCCAGGGTCCATTATGGTCATAAGTCAAGGACTATAATGCAATAGATAGATATTAAGTGATACTAGAGACATGCCATATATGATCCTATGTGGAAAGAGCTACAGCAGTTGACAGTTGCTTACTTAAGTATACGCCATTTCTTTATAATTTAGATTTATAAAGTCTCCCATTTGAATATGACTCGGCACCATACAGATTAAAAACAGATAAAAACCTAAAACAAACAAAAAATGTGTAAATGTAAACACAACTATTTTACCAAAATAGATACTGCACCCCAGGTAGGCATGGCCCATCCTATTTAATCACTTGCTTTATATAGCCCACTCTGCTGGCACATAACTCAAGGCAATGTGCATGATCAATAAACAGTACATGCCAGAGAAATAATCACTTCCAACTCAATGCTGGATTAAAATACATTTTTAATGTCTTTCAAAAGGCGGGCAGGGTAAACCACATTTCAGGAGAAATGCAGTTCAATGCATTTCTGTTCTGCTGTTTAGCTTTGGCTGAACCCTGATAAAACTAAGGGGCTTTGGATATGTGGAATTTGAGATCTAGACTTTAACATCTGGTTTTGAATTGGGTTGCACTGCTCCACACAGACCTGGTGCACAATTCAGGGCTTTTTCTGAACTTGCGGTTCCTGATCAAAGAGATGGCAATTGTGGCTATGGGAGTCTTTATGCAACTTCATGTGCACCAGTTGCACCCTTTCCTAGATTGAGAGTCCCTGTGTTCAAGTCATTCAAGCCCTGGTCATCTCATGTTTGGAATACAAGTAGTCCTCAATTTAACGAACATGACCCCAAAATTTCTGTTGCTAAGACAGTTGTTAAGTGAACTTTGCAACCTTTCTTACCACAGTTGTTAAATGAATCACTGCAATTGTTAGTAACACTGTTGTTAAGTGAATCTGGCTTCCCCATTGATTGTGCTTGTCAACAGATTGCAAAAGGTGATCACATGATCCTGGGATATCATAAATATGAGTCAATTGCCAAGCGTCTGAATTTTGATCACATGACCGTGAGGATGCTACAACGGATATAAGTGTGGAAAATGGTCATTAGTCACTGTCTTCAGTGCTTTTTATAACCTCAAACTGTCACTAAATGAACTGTTATAAGTCGAGGACTCCCCCTGGCAATGTGCTCTACATGGGGCCACATATTTATGGGGCGATGGTTTTTGCAGTGATTGTAAAGCAAATGCTTCAGTCATAAAGCGAAGTCATTGTTTGATAAGGGCCATTTTTGCTGAAAACTAGAAGTAAATACAGTTTTTGGCAAAAAATTATAATGTGGCCATGGGACACAGCAAATAGCAGTAAATGTGGCTGGTTGAGAAACCTCTGATATGCTGTCATATGACTGGGAGGGCATGGCCTTTCAGAACTTTGGAACCAGGTAATAGGTGTGGTTGGGTGGCTCCATTGTAACTTCGAACAACCAGTCATAAATCGAGGAGTACTAGTAGTAGCAGTAGGAGTGAGGGGACTCCCAAGTGGAAAGCTTTATAGATATTTATGTTCTATAGATTTATGCTATTATGATTTATGGATATTCTGCAGATATTTGCTTTTTTTTTTCTTTAATCAAAATTTTATTACATTAAAAAGGAAGAAAATATTTATTTATATTATTTTATATTAAATATAAAAAAATCTAAAAGCCACCGTCCTGGTGTAATCTGATATTTAAATCCAAAGCTAAACTCTGCAAATGCCTATGAGAAGATAAATGCTTTAGTCTGGCACCAAATCACCGAGGCATGGTTAACAACAGAGGTCATGCTTCATGTGGGCCCCACTGTGAGATTGAATTCCCTTGAAGCTGTTTGCCCAGATTTATTTATTAGAGGTGTCACTTGACTGTACTGACCCTCTGGTAATCTAAGATATATGTTTTGAAGTAACTGAATTTTCTGCATATCTCATGAAAACTGCGTTGTAATAATCTGATAGAAAGTTACTTGAGCAGATGTAACTGATCTCATTAAGTGTCCTGATATCACTACAGATGCTGTCTCACCTAATAAGATGAAAAGCAAAGGCAGTGATGAGAACTGCTTTTACATTGGTGGTCTTTTCCAGTGATTGTATGTACACGAAGGAGAAAATAGGGCTTTAGTACACTTTGGTGTAACTAACATTGCCCTTTAGTAATAGCCAAGTATGATTACCTGTAAAACAATGATCCTAATTTGAAATATTTTTATTATTTTTGATTTAGTGTAGAAAAATAATAGCAACAACATAATGGACCAAACCAAATATAATTACAAAAATCATCCTTTATTGTTGTACAAATAAAGCATGAGAGTGAAAATTCGTTCTCCGAGCTTGTGGGTTGGTTTCCGAACATTTTGTTACCAGGCTAGGTAACATCTTCAGCAGAAGTTCAGCTCCACTGAAGATGTTACCTAGCTTGGTAATGAAACGTTACCAACTCACAAGAGTTGGGAGAACAAACCTTCCTCCTCGTCCTACACAATTCGCTACTATTGAAAATATAGCATAATGTATGATCTGAATTAACAGAACTGCGTGTGTGAAAAGTATATATATTTTAGGAAAATTAAAAAAGCAATAGATCAAGGAAATTTGACAGTTTGTTTGAAGATTCTCTTTCGTACCGTTCTCTTAAAATTCTAATGTTGAAAAAGTGAACAAATAATATAATATATTGAATCATTTTATCTTTCAAATGTCATATCATAATTTTTTGGCTAACAATTCCTTCCCCTCCCCCCATTTCTCATTGCACAAAGAATTCATTATTTGTGAATCTGAATACATTCCAAATGCTAGGAATATAGCCAAAAAAAAACATATGACAAGCAGTACTCTTTCTAATGTTGAAAATGAGTGACTGCCAATAGGATGGCAATATTGTTGAAATGTAGACAATTCAGAGGATTGTTTTCAAGAATAGGATATGCAATCTCATTATTCTTAAAATCAGCTAAATAGTATCAATTTCATCTATTTCATCTTCTAGTCAAAATAAATTACTGGATTAGGAGTCCAGTTAATTCTTCCAAGACTTCTAACAAATGTTGAATTATGAGACAGCAAAGACATTAGGACAAATCATTCAAAATAATAAATGCTTGAAAAATATGCCAACAAGAAGTCAAGAGGGTTACGTTCTGCAAATTTAAAAAAAATCATTTCAGCGAAGTTAATATATATTATGAGAGATCCAATTTATTATCCTTCCAGGATTTTCTAGGTATTTCTAAAACATAATAATCTCATAATAGAAGTTTTTCTTGGGTACAGTGATCAAAACTATCTAAGACCTAGTATTTTCTATATACTGAAGCATTGAGTTCAGAAATTAAAACTGATTCCTTGCCAAAATTTCAGTTGGATGAAAGAATAACTCTTAAGTTAATTAAAGTAGAGCTGAATTCAGGAATTCCTTATTTCAAATCATAAATTAATTCATTCAGAAAATTTAAAATGTGTGAAATTAAATTAAACCCAAGCGGAATTATAATTTCTGAAATAAAACTAAAAAAAAAGAACACTCTATCCAAGGGAATTGTTTAGTAAACTGCATTTACTTAAAATAATATGAAATAATAAAAAATAGGAAGGCTTTATAAACAGTGTCCCTAATTTAGAGATTTGGACTTGGAAGATAATTGTTATTGAAAATGGCTGAGTGTCTAAAAAATCAATAGAGTTTAACTCCTTTTGTCTCTTCTTCAACCAATATTATCTCCCAGGGTAACTAAGGCAGTTTATATTTAAAACCTTTACTTAAAGTCAAAATGAATCTAAAATCAGCTTCATCCAAGAGTATGCAGTCACGTGGTGACCCATTTAACAACTGCTATGACT